TGGCAGCTAAGCTAAAGGGCCGATGGCAGCTAAGCTAAAGGGCCGATGGCAGCCTGCAGTGCAGCTGGGGAGACGAACAGTGTCACGTCTGGCGGGGGGGGTCACCGCTGACGCTCTTCTAGCTGAGCTCTTCATTTGCTCAGATTAGTTGTTAGTCCATTTAATGTGTATTTATAATAAAGCAGGCATACTGTCTGAAGACATCATTCTTCAGTAATTTTGAGCTGAAATGAATGTATTAATTGTTAAGTTGCTAAGAACCATAAGCCATATATTACTGAAATCGTTTTTGGTGATGAATAAATGGATGGTCGACCATCAGCGAGATTTCTGCAGTGCTTTTTAACCCTGACAGCACTGGACGTACTTATCAGCCACAGTGAATGACAGCTCCCCAAAACCCTCTCATGTCACACTGCTTTACAGAGATATTTCATCCTTCTAGAATTTCAATGACCTGTTAGTTGCTTCCTTGTCTTTGGATTTATTTCAGCCTCACATGCGAAGCACTTCGAGCTGAATAGTGCTATAAATAAAGATGTAACGAGGCAGCCATGTTTACAGCAGAGGAGCTCTGGGTCTGGTCTTATAGCCACAGGCCACCCACCAGGGGGCAGCATCACGTCATCTAAGCCAGAGAGACCCGCAGTCAGTCTATCTGCGGCCTTTAAGGAGCACCAGGAACTGCGAGACCAGAGAGACGGGGGGGAGGAGGAGGAAGTGACGCATGTCTCGCTCCTTTAGGCCCTACTTATTTAGCAAAATCCAGACAAGAAGCGCAGTGAGCGACCAGGGGCGAGGGAGCAGCGGCGAGGGAGCAGCGGCGAGGGAGCAGCGGCGAGGGAGCAGCGGCGAGCGACCAGCCCCAGTTTGGCCGCGCTGCAGCCGCCTGCCACTCTGGGGCCTTTTTAATGGCCGCCAGCAGCAGGAACCCGGAGCCACGTCCCCCTGACATGTGGTCTCCACCAGCCGCCTGAGAACGGCGTGTGAATAGAGGTACATACAGATGCTTTCAGGACTACTGAGAACCTCCTCCTGAGCGCTTTCCTCCACTCCCCTGTGTCAGAGCCCCCTGTATCTGCCCAGGACACAGCAACTTCAGGCCATGCGGGTCCGTCTCTGGCCACTAGGGGGAGCGCATAACGCTTCACACACCTGTCATCAGGACTCTGCTATTCCTGCATTAATATTTGCTTTGTTACTGCAAGCAATTCTTGGCTGGAGACAAAAAAACCGAGGGAGATTTTTTTGTTATTGTGAGGGTGGAAAATGTAGTGGCTCTTGGTAAAAATAATGAAATTAAAATATTTAAAAAAAAAAAAAACATAAAACAATTTGTCAGAATTAAAATGGGAAAATTAATTAAGTGTTCAGAAAAAGAGGTCAGCTTAGGAGCAGAGCTGCCCGACTGAACGTAACGTTTCCTCATCACTGTTCAACGTGTATCTCATTCATTCAGTAAAGTTCACAGGGTATCAGGCCAACAAACCATTACACACAAATTCTCCAGCGTCCTGGTCTGGGGGCTTCAGTTTACTGGATATGTGAGCATCAAGGGGGGCGGGGGACAGGGTCTGATTCTCACAGGCGTCTGTGTGGAGTGGGGGTGATCATCAACAGATCAAAGGGAAGAAATCGAGAGACAGAAAAATGTGCGTGAGGGGGCATGAAGTCTGCAAACGTGCCTGTGCATGCGGGAGTGGGTGGGGGGGGGCTGAAAAGCAGCGGATTCCCAACAACAAGACCAACTCCCTCATTTCACCAAGAGATTAAAACAGAGACGTGCAGATCTCACCATGACTGAAATACAGGAGCTGGACTCCCTATTGCCAGCAGACGAAATGGAAGCAGAAATAAGCATGCAGATTACAGGAGGAGGCTGAGTGGGAAGGGGGCCCCACACTCGGGAAAGGGGTCGGAATCGCATGGAAAATGGGGATAACACGTCGGCTCCGACGGCTCGAGCACGAGTGGGGCGGCCAGCTCGCCAAAATAACCCAGCAGAATTCGTTACGACCGAGTGATTCACTTGTGGGTCCAGCTCAACAGCTATAACATCAAAATAAGTCCTTCGTATTTCAAACAAACCAAACCTAGTTAACAGTGACCCACACCAAGCCACACCCACCCCAGGACTATCGTCACCGTCATGAAGCACTGTCCCAGAGTCCCAGAGCTTCAACAAAATTTCCGACACGTCACTTTAGCCCCCGGCACGTAGCTGTGTGGCCTACATTGTTCTCATACAGTAATGCTGGAAACACATCTATTAAGGCTGTGACCCGTCCTGCAGCCCCCAGCCTTTGCTGAAGATGAATACGTGGGTTAAAGCAAAACCTACATCAGAAAAATTAGGACATCTAAGTTCAGCTAAAATCCAGAAAAGGGAACAAAAATTTATAGATTCCCCAAGAACAACCCCAAGTGAATCTGTAGTGTAGAGATCCTCCCGAACCCAAGAGCTTCGTGCAGAAACGTCTCATTTCCCATGTTTTGATTTCTCAACTGCTCAGCAGCCATCGCAGTAACGCAAACCAACGTGAGACCACTCAACATGTCAAGGCGCAAACCTATAACAAACCTAAAACACTGGAGAAAAGTCAATGCTTTCATTTTGGGCTGGATATCAGGCTCTGAAGAGGAAAAACACAGAGGCTTAGGGACCACAGCTGGGCACAAAGACGAGAGGAGATACTGTGGCCACCAGCAAACAAGCGCTCGATTGGTCAATGTGAGACAGGAGGGGCGGAGCAAAGGCGCTCGATTGGTCACTGAGAGACAGGAGGGGCAGAGCAAAGGCGCTCGATTGGTCACTGAGAGACAGGAGGGGCAGAGCAAAGGCGCTCGATTGGTCACTGTGAGATAGGAGGGGCATAGCAAAGGCTCTCGATTGGTCACTGTGAGACAGGAGAGGCGGAGCAAAGGCGCTGGATTGGTCACTGAGATAGGAGGGGCATAGCAAAGGCGCTTGATTGGTCACTGTGAGACAGGAGGGGCGGAGCAAAGGCGCTCGATTGGTCACTGAGATACAGGAGGGGCGGAGCAAAGGCATTCGATTGGTCACTGAGAGACAGGAGGGGCGGAGCAAAGGCACTCGATTGGTCACTGACAGGAGGGGCGGCGCAAAGGCGCCCGATTGGTCACTGTGAGACAGGAGGGATGGATCTAGTGACCCTGAGAAAAGGAAGTGGCCCACTATGCATAAATTAATTCATCATATCATCAGAATAAATGTCAAGTAAGAGCGTATTCTAAAAAAATCCTATCTGGATATATGAACTCTATTCTATTGCTTTGTGGGAAGCGCTTTATCTACTTAGCTGTGCTTGATTTCTATAACTGGCAACAACTTGTATTCAGATACTTGTATGCTTACCTTGACTCCCTCCGATTTCTTGTTGAGTAAGCTTTTGCAAGCTGCAGATGAAGAGAACAGGTAAGCACTGCACTGTACAAGAGGCTCCGATTCAAAATCAAAATGCAAAATGAATAAAACAACAATGAATAGGCTGGCAAGTATTAGGCTTATGTTTCAATCACTTTTTTAAACTTTTTAAAAAGACCCCACGACGTGTGAATTAAAAACATCTACAGGATGGCACACACACGCACATGTAGGGTATACATATCCTTATGGGGACCGCTCATTCATTTCAATGGAAAAAATGCTAACGCTAACTATGACAACCTTAACCCCTACCCAACCCTAACCATAACCATAAGTAACCTAACAAAATACAAGAGTTTTTGCATTTTTTAGTTTTTTCATAGCAGTCACCGATTTTTATAAAATAGAGTTTTCCCTTATGGGGACCAGGAAACCGGTCCCCATAAGGAAAAAAAACAGATATTTATCACGTTATGGGGACATTATGTCCCCATAAGGATAGGTAAACCCACTCGCGCGCACACACATACACACACACACACACACGCGCAAAAGACATACAGACAGAAATAGACAGACGCACACACACACAAAATCAACTTCCCAATAAGCAGTTCTACAGCATTCCCTTACCTTCCATCAAAAAGGGATGAAAGGATGGCAAAAAAAGAAATATATTAAAAAAAAAACATCAATAGCACATCAGAAGCAGAGGTTCATCAGAATACGGATGGGGGTGCAGCCAATAGGATGAGGGGGGCGGGGTAGAGTGTGACCAAAGGTTTGGCATGCAATAACTACACCTCCCAGAATGCATCTGTCTCAGGTGAACACACCCAAGGAGGGATTAGACAAGCTGCTGTCTTACTACTGATTCCCCTGTCTGTGAATATAGTAAGCGGGAATTAAACACGACCACAACGCGCTGCAAGAACTCCGCTGGCCATGACAGAAAGCCCACATGCTGATGAGTGCAAAAAAGGAACATTGTTTCCTTTTAGAAATAATTCACGAATAGAAAAGTGAAGCATATTAAAAACAAAGACAGCACTCTTGCCCAGCGCTAAGCCCCAAGCCTGCCTGAGATGCAATGAGTCCGGGGCATGATGAGGGGGCGCTCTTCACTGCCACCTACAGGCAGAGGCTTTTCCACAGTGACTCTAACCCACTGCAGTGGTGTTCTGTAGCTGAAGCTGAATTATAACCATGTTGGGGGTCCGGCGGGGGGGATGGGGAGGGGGTTGAGGAGTGGGGTGAAAACAGCACCTTCCGTCTGTCCGCGAGGGGGCTTATTCCACGCCAGTGGGCTGACCTCTGACCTCTGTCATGTGACCCCCAGGCTGAGGAAGGCAGCAAGCCAACCCCACTCCTGCCAATCTCTGAATCGAACCCGAGCCCCACGTGGCTGACCCAGACCCCATACAGAGATGGCCATCTAGAGCGCGGGTTTATAGTAACAGCTAACCTGAATGGGCTCTAGGCATCTTTTCAAAGGCACCATTTAAAAATAACTTGGGAGGCCTATTTGGAATTAAACTATCGAGCTAAACTAAACTCTAAACTGCGCTCACCAACGCACAGGTTACACCTGACTGTGTATATTTACATCAGCACCTGTAATAAGTGTCATGTGATCAACATTAGCACATGTGATAAGTATCATATGGCCAATATAGCACATATGATAAGTGTCATGTGACCAACACTGGCACATGATTCATGTGACTAACATTACATAACATAAGAACATTAGAAATTTACAAACGAGAGGAGGCCATTCGGCCCATCAAGCTCGTTTGGGGAGAACTTAACTAATAGCTGTTAAAATCTTATCTAGCTCTGATTTAAAGGAACCCAGGGTTTTAGCTTCCGCTACACTAGCAGGAAGACTATTCCATACTCTAACTACACGCTGTGTAAAGAAGTGCTTCCTCAAATTTGCTTTAAAATGTTCTCCTGCTAATTTCTACTTATGACCGCGAGTTCTAGTATTTAAACTAATATTGAAGTAGCCACTTGGCTGAAGAGCATCCAGACCCGTTAGAATCTTATAGACCTGGATCATGTCCCCCCCTTAGTCTCCTTTGCTCAAGGCTAAACAGATTCAACTCAGGTAACCTCTCCTCATAAGACATTCCTGGAATCATTTTCGTAGCCCTCCGTAAAGCACATGTGATAAGTATCATGTGACTAACATTAGCACATAAGTCATGTGACCAACATTAGCACAAATGATGTGTCATGTGATGTGCTGTGATTGGCCTGATAGCCTGCGATGCTCTGCTTTGGCCCTACGGTGGGTTGGGGGCACGCTGCCTAGGTGGCATGCTGGTGGGGCAGAGGGTGGGCTGCTCACGTGGCACTCGGGACGTACCTTCCTGTGCCAGCGCGGCAGTGCTGGTGGTGGCAGCAGCAGGGCTGGTATGCTGCCGGCCCACTATTGAACAGAGAGGCGCTGGGTTGAATGGGGCAAACGGCTATGCGAGACACGCGGTAGGACGGTGACCACAAGGGGGCGGTCTGGACACCCGCGTGGGAAACCGTATGTCTGCCACTCAAGCCAGAATCAAGTAAAAATCTGAGAAACCCAAAAGTGGGTCTGAATCACCCTCCAAAGTCGACCTCATAGATAGACATTCACTCTTCATTCACAAAGGAAATCAAACGATCATAAAGGATGTAGTTCACAGTTCAGGCGACTGTCTACAGATGGTTGCCGTGGCTGGGGTGGGGGCTTAGGGGGGGTTGGGTATACTCACAGACACGCAGATTGTTTAATGAGAAGGGGGAAAAAACACACCAATACATGTAATTATCACAACCACACTCTGTACTGTACTAACACAACAATTATTAAACAAAGAGTTCAGGCGAGCAAACTTCACTCACTAGATTCAATTCTGTTTCTGACTAAAGTAGCTGAAGGTGCAGAGATCAAAGGCCCAACTAGTCACCTGTCGCTTTGTTTGAACCACGGGAAGTGCTTGTACTGTTTTAAGCATTCGGGTTTACAATAGTTCAGATTTATTTTAAAAATCCTTTAACTTTATCAAACATTTATAAATGCATTACAGAGCAGCAGATTCTTTCTGTGACCACAAGGAGTCGTCACCTTAATCTGGAGTAAACTCAACGAGCCGGGCAGAGCGGCACTGCGAACCGTCCTCTGAAAGTGGGCAGCGGGCTTCTTGCCAACATGGGCACACCTGGGCACACGCTGTCATCTGTGGGCGTTTCACTCACCTGAGAAGTTTCTGGACACCAGCATGGTGGTGAGAATGGCTCCCTGGAACAAAGGACACGGGAAGCCGCATGTTTTTTGAGCTCAATGCATGATTCACGTAGAAGAGCAATAGTAACATGCGATCAGAGACCAGCAACCTCTTCAACATGGGTGACATAAACATCTTTGGTTCTTTAAAAGTAGGGGTGGTGTCATAGCCCCCACCAGTTTCAGGTCGCCCTCCTGTTACTAACTGAGGACCTAAAAAGATGCACACAAGTCTGTACCTTCAGCTTCCTCCGGGCGTTGAACTTGCGTAGGCACTCAACGGTCTCTTGACGGTGCATCATGGAGGCCACAGTGGAGCGTTGCTACATGGGATAGAAGGTTACCAACATCAGAGAGGACCTCTCAGAGGGCCAGGGGGAGTGGACTCTCTGAAACATTTACATTGAGGGACGTGTAGGATTAATTCACTTCCTGAAACTGGGAGGACAGAGTAAGAAGAGGTGGAAAATTTCAGAGGAAGGAGAACTGCAAGTGCCAGAAAGAGGAAGGAAATGAGACAGGAAGGAGAACTGCAAGGGACAGGAACAGGAAGGAAACGAGACAGGAAGGAGAACTGCAAGGGACAGGAACAGGAAGGAAACGAGACAGGAAAGGGAACTGCAAGGGACAGGACCAGGAAGGAAACGAGACAGGAAAGAGAACTGCAAGGGACAGGACCAGGAAGGAAACAATGCAGGAAGGAGAACTGCAAGGGACAGGAACAGGAAGGAAACGAGACAGGAAAGGGAACTGCAAGGGACAGGAACAGGAAGGAAACAATGCAGGAAGGAGAACTGCAAGGGACAGGAACAGGAAGGAAACGAGACAGGAAAGGGAACTGCAAGGGACAGGAAGAGGGAGGAAATGAGATGGGAAGGAGAACTGCAGGGGAAGGAAGAGGAGGGAAAGGAGACATGAAGGAGAACTGCAAGGAACAGGAAGAGGAAGGATATGACAAAACGGAGAAGGGAGGAGCGACTTACACAGACCCACGGGTGTTTGAGGGCCTGCTCAGCTGTGATCCTTTTGGCCGGGTTGATGGTTAGCATCTGGTTAATGAGGTTTTTGGCCTCAGGGGTAACGGTATCCCACTCCGGGGAGGGGAACTAAAGCCAGAGAGGAACAGAGATGCAAGTCGAGGCTGGCAACAGGAAAAGACTTTAATATCTCTGGGGCATTTTTCTTAATTTATAAAAACTGAAATATATATATATACACAAGTGGCTGAGTCAGTAGTAGATCATGACATCTGAAAATATAAAACCACTTATCTGTGACATTCCACTCATCTATAATGTTCCAAATGGGTAAAGACAGTGCCACCTACCCTCTGGGATGTATTCACACACATAACCTCCGGATTACAGAATACAGGAGCTACACCTAATGAAGAGCTCAGTGTCAGCCAAACCCACGATCAGAGAGGAATACTCACATCGTAGGCACCCGCTTTGATCTGTTGGTAGAGTTTATGTTGGTCTTCATCCCAGAAAGGGGGATATCCCACAAGCAGGATATAAAGGATCACACCTATAATGAGGGGGCAGGAGGGCAGTGAGAGGCTAGCATTAAATTCTGCCCCCCCATGGCATGCTGGGATGCACATCACCTAGGCTGGAGGACTCACCACAGGCCCAGATATCGACAGGCTTCCCGTATGGGTCCTTCCTAAGGACCTCTGGAGAGAGGTAACCAGGAGTGCCTGCGAAACCTGCACAGGGAAAAGCGACATTAACGAAACTGCAGAGGCTACAGGAAGCATCAGTGAAGGGTGTTGGGGAGCAAGCATCTGAATAAACAGCTGAGGTTAAGAAAAGATGGCGCTTTGCAGCAGTAACGAAAGCTCGGAATAGAGGAGGAGGAGTGAGGGGTCCGGTTCTGCCCAGGCACCTAGAGAAGGGCTTAAAACCAGGGGAATAAGGGCAACCCTCCAGGGCTAACAAACGGAGCGCTTCGCCACCATTAACGAGTAATGAGACTCCAAATAGATGTTATAAAGTGTCAAAGGCAGACAGCTGAGCGTATTTCCTACTTCAACTGAACTTACAGAAAAGCATGTAAGAAACGGTGTGTGTGTGTGTGATTATGTTAATGTTATACCAAATGTTCCCCACAATGTGATAAAAACCTGTTATTTTTCAGGTCCCCACAAAGATCTATGAATGCAATCAAAAAACTAAAAATGCCAAAGCCGTGTATTTCGTTTGCTTACTCGCGGTTAAGGTTAGGGCTGGGT